TCATTCACATCACTCTCAGCCTTTTAACAGAAGATCTGTGTCTTTATCATTCTCAACCCTCTTATTCTCTTTTGTCTGTGTTCATTCTGGATTTTACAGTTCTTCATCTTTCATCTATTTATTCATTCTTATGACTCTACTGTGCATATCTTCTTGTGACGGGCTGCGCCTGATCAATCATATAGACTATTCCGTTACACTTCACAGATTCCTACCGCTCCGATTCTCGGTCACTGATCCTCAGCTGAAAACCTATGGAATTCCTATTCTTCTGCCCCGAAGCTCCACCGCGTATGAAAACCCCTATTCTTTTGCCCCAAAGTTCCACTGTGTACGCCACCGCGTACATGTATAAATATTCACTTCAATCACTGATTCCCACACTTTCTCTTTCTTTCCTTCTCTAACATTTTTCACTTTGTTATATAAGACCTATAAATATTATACCAATCTATTCGGCGTAGACTTCTTACACTTCTTATTCTATGAAAGACAAAGATTCTCTATGATATCTGCTTAATCTTCTATCACCTTGTTGTCTCAGATTCTTTATCTCATTCATAGTTATTGTTTCATTATCATCTCATTGTTTCAATCCCTTTCTTTACCCGCCTCTCACACAAGAAGAATATTAACTCACATTCAAAAAATGCCTAGTATTCACTCTCTTATTCCTTATTAGATTTAGCACTCACAGTATTTAATGATTTCTATCATCTTCTTTCAACTTCATTTTTTCATCTCATCATCTCATTTTCAGACATCTGCCTCTTTTCAGACAGAGAAACTGTAGTGTTCATTCTTGCTACTTCTCAGAGCTTCTGCTTCTTTCTTCTTCTACTCTATTCTTATTTCTCTATCTGAAAGCATATTCACTCACTACTTCTCAGAGCTTCTGCTTCTTTCTAGAGCTTTCATCTCTTTCTTTCTAAGACTTCTGTCTCTTTCTTTCTAAGACTTCTGTCTCTTTTATTCTGAGACTTCTGCTTCTTTCTTTCTAAGGCTTCTGCTTCTTCCTTCTGTAAAAGTCAATCACAGTAAACAAACAAGCATGTATATATATATATAGAGGCGCCCGCCAATCTTCATCTTAGAGAATGAGACAAGATTTACCTTTTTACATGTATGATACATGATCAGCATACATTACAGATGATATATACTGTAAAGACTCTGTTATATATTATATATTATTTAAAAGAGATAATGAATTTGAGTATTTTCTATAGATATAATCTGTATAAGAGATTCATTCTTCTTAATTTCTCTGATAATTTCTACTTACTCTTCAGCTACTTGAATTCTGATTGAGCAGGTCTCTTAAATGAGAATAGAAAATTAATATTCAGCTATGTTTTTAAGCTTGTAGACAGTCTGATTTCATGATAATCAGTGAAGTAATTTTGTATATCTCTAAGTCTCAATGAGACTGAATATATAACTCTTAGTGAGATGATCTACAAAGTAATATAAATCTGAAATCTTATAATTGAGCTTGACTTTATTATTATATCATTAATATGAATTCTCACTGATAATAAGAGTGTCATAGATCTTATAAAGATAATAGTTATTATAACCTGAAGTAAGTATATTAATACATATTTTCATTTTTCATATTAATAGTTAAATCAGAGAGTCATTGATTTAAAATATGTTTTCATTACTTAAATAATAACAGATGAACTCACTAAATCTCTAAACACTGTAACATTTATATAATTCATGATTTTACTAGATCTTACAGATGAAAAAGTTGAAAATGCTTAATTTTACATTTGTATTTGATTTTGACAGACTATCTTGATGAATTGAGTATTTTTGTATGTGATTCTTGTTATCTCAAGGGGGGGTGTTGGCCGTTACGGCCGTTGCGGTTAGCGATCCCACCAGATCACGTGACCCACCACTATATTATGTTGGGGGTCCCGGGGGTTGATCGGCCCTTCTACCAGCAGCGCTGGTGGTGACTGAGCTCTTTTGCCCCAGTAGCCTACAGGTTATGAGACTGTTAAGCGTGAGCCCCGCTGTGGTCAACATGCATGGGTTCAATCCCAGGATGGACTTAAGAAAATCCCAAAACAAATACCCCGGACATTTAACAGTGCCAAGAGACATCCTAGGAGTGTGCCCTAGAAGTGAGCCCTTGAGCCCTAGGAGTGAGTCCAAAAAGAAAGACCGCTGAGAGGAGCCACTAAGAGGAGCCACTGAGAGGAGCCACTGTACTCTGTGGTTAGCTGGTCCGAGGGGGGGTGTTGGGGGTCCCGGGGGTTGATCGGCCCTTCTACCAGCAGCGCTGGTGGTGACTGAGCTCTTTTGCCCCAGTAGCCTACATATTATGTTCTTGTAGATAGATCTATCAATACAACCTTCAACTATCCTACATTAACTACACGAAAAGAATGACTACCGCAACCACGCCACGCAACGAATAGGCCCTATGCATAGTAAAATATAAAATGGCGTTAGCGTGGATAGGGTGTTGTACTGCACATCTAATAATAGCCGGCCTGGGGATTTCATTCCGCACACGGAGCATTTTAGGTGTGGGGCATTCTTTTCTTTTCTTCTCTTCTTTTTCGGTTTTTATCTCAAGCGTGGACTGCGAAGATGAATCCCCTGGATCCATCAGCAGAGAGAGAAGAAGGGGGAAAGGTATGATATATGTCTATTACCTGCTTGGAGGAGCCTCTGGGTAGCTCAGATGATTAGCCAAATTCATTGATCCCCTAGGGTGCACACAGGCGCTTGTACAATCCAAAGCCTGTTATTTGAGATATGTGAACAGGGAATTAGATTTACTAAATAGCAAAACAGCAACAAAAGCGATTGCATTCGTGTAAGCTCTTATAAAGAGTTATATCAGAGCCCGGGCTGCTAATCTATGCATGATTCTGAGTTTGATAACAAACGGAGAGAGACGTTATGAGCTAAGATTCCGGATGTACATACATGTAGTTGTCGATTTGCGCAGATAAGTATTCTTTTAACAAGATGGGGCTCAAGAGGTTCGATGCATCCGGCCCCTTTACCCATTGGAGCATCAGTTGACTTTTCCGCAACTGATGATGGTTCGAGTCTGATTCGGCCCCTGCGCTTCATCTGAATAATATTTCGTTGCACCGATACAGTTGATTTGGAGCAACTTATGCGACAGGAATATCCCAATGCCCCGCGGATGCGTCCCTCATCCACTGATATCTTCACGATTCCGTGCCGGCATACATAGTTTCAAAAATTGTGGCTGTTCAAGTATCCCATGTTCCCTCCTCCTGTCGCCCATTTCACGAGGCTAATATTAACCTCGATGACGATGGGCTGGTTTTTATTCAGATCTTTGAATTCCTTCCCCTGGATATGATCTTGCTGATTAGGTGTTTGTTGGACTTTTTAACGGGTTTCTAAAGACCCTAGCCGACCATGGACCATTTGGATTGCGAAAGCTGGAGATAGTATGTTATGTATCTCTAGGTATGATGATGGGCTGCCGCATTTGTTGATCCAATTAGAGAGTAAACAGTAAAGCCCCTCCCTAGGAACAGTCAAGACGAGAGCTGATATGTAAAATCGAGACCATTGTCCTTCAGTCGGGGTAATAATGTCAGCTCCAATCTATGACATCACGGGAACCTGTTATTAGTATTGTTAAGGAGGTCCGGGTATTGTAATTCACTTCCCCGAAATAGAGTGAGAGAGAGAAAGAAATAAAGTTACCTCTCTTCAATAACATGCGAATATATACACAAAATGGTTAGGTTATTCATAGGCGTATGAAGCACGAGAGCATCAATATAAAATGCCCAGAACTAGTCAAAAACACCCCTTGACGCTAAAGCACAAAGTCCAATGAAGTCACAGTTGTTTGTTCCCCTAATGCTTCGCTACCGAGCGGCCACGGGCAGGAGGAGTTGGTTGCTGTGGACCAAAAGTTCGCCCTAAGCTTGCTGCCAGGGCACCTAGGCCCACGATAGTCAAGATGGCAAAGAACCTCCCAGAATTACTCTCTCCAGAGTCCTCAGTGGTCAAGCCGCCCTGTTCTCGCATGCGCGATTTCTCGCGCTCGATAGCTCTATGACGACGAAGACGTCTTCTTTCATCTTCGTGTGATTGCGTGCGAAAGTGCGATTGAGCATCGAAGTGGAAGACTGGGTTGTTGTAAATGAATGAAGATTCCGACTCTGACGCGGTGGAAGCAGAAGCGATGTTGGAAGCATGTTTATGGCATGCATGTTGGCTGGTGCCATAGCCGCCATGCGCATAGAAGCTTGGCGGGGGTCCGTGGAAAGTTCCACGTTCTTTTCTTAACCCGGATGGTGGTCGGGAGCCTACATATGAGGCCTTGCGGTGATGATGGGAGCCCGTGTTGGGTGCTTGCACCGGCTGGCGAATGTGATGATCTCGGTCATACCGGGCTCGTCTCAATTCGTGGGACAAGACATGGTACGCCGAAGATATAGACGTGAATTTGGCGTGTGCAGCAGGGTCTTTCGGGTTTCTATCAGGGTGGTGGGCGAGGGAGAGGGCGTAAAACTGTCTAGATACGGTTTTACGTGAAAGGTTAAAATTAGGGCCCAAGCGTGAAGTTGTGAATGGAATATGCCGCGTGAAAAGTAATTAAACACCCAGCACTTACTTTTTGATTTCTGCTGTTGTAGCTGTGGCTGGCACGTTGAGGATCTCATAGTATGAAGGCCTGTGGGCTTCGGTGGAGAATGGCCGCCCACAAGAGATCCTTGGAAGAGGATGTAGAAAAGCCCGTGGGGAGAAAAAGGGCAGACGGTGAAGACGCGGCGGCATACCTTACATTTCCCGTCATACCTATGAGAACATCAAGCAAAATAGAGCAAAAGGCTGAAATGTCTCTTATTGAGGGTTGGAGATGGCGGGATGAGCAAGTCAGATCATCGCAAATTCCAAGGTTGTAACTAATGGCCAGTCATGTGACATTCCGTCATCGACTTTCGGCTTCGATGCAGAATGAAAAACCAGCAATTTAAGGATTTCTTTCCGCAAGATTACATTCATATCAAACCAACAGATACTATTATTCATATTTCCAGTAATTAAGAACTAGAAGAGTAGAAATTTTTTGTAATCGTGCTATCGTACACGTGATTTCAGCTACATCGGGATTCTGGAGTCGTTCATTGGCTGTATCCCAAGGCGGAGACACATTCTGCTGAGAGCGAGCTGTGAGATATTTGGCGGCAACATTTTACATGGTGGTAGACATCCGAACACAAAACCTTTGCCTTCTCTGATTTTTCAACATGGCAGCTCAAGTTACGCCGGAGTTGGCAAATCTTAACTGTAGGTCTCCCTCGTCAAATTTTTGCTTCGAATTTACAATCCATTTTTCCTAATGATATTTTCGTAGCCAAACCTGAAGGTGGGGCTCCTCCGAAGCAAGTTCCAGTGAAAGATGTCCCCGAGAACGAAGATGTAGAGTCGGACGACGATAATGAGGGTGATCAGGGAGCAGGTGAACCCGGAAGTACGGGAGGTTCGATATATATGTTTTCCTCTTTTCTCTAAGGCTTCGCTAATTCCTTCCTATCCTTCTGCTACAGCCGCAAAGAAAAAAAAGAAGAAGAAGCCAAAGAAGAAGAAGAAGGGCGGCCCAAAGGTGCAAACCGAGCCTCCCCGCGTCATTCTCTCGAGCATATTCCCCAACAATGACTATCCCGTGGGCGAGCTTGTCGAGTACAAAGACGACAATGCCTACCGTACTACCAACGAGGAGAAGAGATATCTTGACCGCATGAATAATGATTTCCTCTCAGAATACCGCTATGCGGCAGAAGTGCACAGACAGGTGCGCCAATATGCACAGAAAACCATCAAGCCAGGCCAGACTTTGACGGAAATCGCTGAGGGGATCGAGGACAGTGTGCGCGCACTCACCGGCCACGACGGGTTGACAGAAGGAGATAATCTGCTAGGCGGAATTGCATTCCCAACCGGTGTTAACCTCAATCATTGCGCAGCACATTACTCCCCCAATGCTGGTAATAAGATGGTCCTTCAATACGAAGATGTGATGAAGGTTGATTTTGGCGTTCATATCAATGGCAGAATTGTGGATAGCGCTTTTACTGTTGCGTTCGATCCGGTTTATGATAATTTACTGGCTGCTGTTAAAGATGCTACGAATACAGGAATTAGGGTTTGTCATCACTCCATACCCCATGCCACATAGCCCTATTCATCCATCAATTTTTCGGATATCCGTCTAACAAGAGGGTTGCTTTCTGTAGGAAGCCGGTATTGACGTCCGCATGAGCGATATTGGCGCGGCGATCCAGGAAACCATGGAAAGTTATGAAGTCGAGATTAAAGGAACCACATATCCCGTCAAACCCATTCGAAACCTTAATGGACATACAATTGGCCAATTCGAGATCCATGGCGGCAAGAATGGGAAGAGCGTTCCGATTGTCAAAGGAGGGGATCAATCCAAGATGGAGGAGGGCGAAGTTTATGCCATCGAAACATTTGGTAGCACTGGAAGGGGATATGTGAGAGATGATGTAAGTTTAGTGTAGAATTCGCTTATGTGCAGAAAGTGGACGTCCCAGGATTTTCTGGACGTGGCTAACCTGAGTATTTACGCAGATGGAAACCTCACACTATGCTAAGGTTCCTGATGCTCCCAATGTTCCTCTCCGCCTGTCGTCTGCGAAGAACCTTTTGAACGTCATCACAAAGAATTTTGGCACTTTGCCTTTCTGTCGGCGGTACCTTGACCGACTTGGACAAGATAAATACCTTCTTGGAGTAAGCTGATGCCAAACCCAGCCCTCTTCTTTTCCTCTTCTTTTCTCCTCTTTATATTATTTCTTTTTTCTCCCTTTTTTCCGAATAGGGTGAAGTAGTGTAGCTGACCAACCATCACCATTAGCTAAATAACTTGGTTGCCAATGGAATCGTCGACGCATATCCACCACTTTGCGACATAAAGGGATCATACACTGCCCAATTTGAACACGTGAGTAGCATCCCATTCTCGATTACAATATGAGCACTGCATATATTATATGCCTATTGCATTTTACTAACCAGTATACGCCAGACTATCTTACTTCGACCGAACATCAAAGAGGTCATCAGCCGGGGGTATGATTACTAGAGTTTCTGGTTCTTCTTTGTTATATATCTACGTTGATGCTTTTCCCGAATATGCCTAGTTTTATGACAGTATAGCAGCAAGATGGAAATAGAATAATGCCTTTTTTCTGTCCTCTTTTTATCCACCTTCGTGCCGAACCGAAATTTTTGTAGTTACTGGGTGGGTCTAGGAGGGAAGTAGGAGAGAATTAATAAAAATGAATGGCTAAGGAAGCACACTGCATTTTATCTAATTCACATAGTTGCCCGAGGCGGTGAAGATTGCGCTCGAGGTACGGAGTTAATCCATACATATAACGACATGGCGGAACCCCTTTTAAGGCTTTTAAGGTTATCTTATCTGATCCGGTTCTGTTCTTATCTCCACGTGATCCCGCTTCCCGCCCTGACCTTCGGAAGTGTAGGGGCGCCCGCCCGAGTGGCGTTGCCATACGGGAAGAATGTAGGGTTAATTTACGGTGATTACACTGTGGATCCACCATTTCACCCGTGTCACGTGTCGCTGATCATAACACCTATACCGGAAAAACGTAGGCTTATTATACAACCAGGTTATGGTTGTTCCGCTGTGCCAGTCGCTGACACCGTCACCAAACTGTAAATCTTAATATAATGATGAATAAGCTGTGGAATCATCATAAACAAGTTATGAACAGGAAAAAATTATCATTGTATTAACAATATCACTGATTTCTATCTATATAATTACTAATTCTAAAAAACATCTTATTCACTGAAATCATTCTCTATTGAAAATCTGTCATGTCTCTATCTAATTTCTTCTAAATTCTCTGAATCATCTCTCTCTTATTATCATCATTTTCTGTCATATTCACAGCAGCATTATTCATTTCTGTAAACTTGTGAATTAATATTAGAGTTTTTAAAGAGTCAGTATTAATAATTATTCACTGTTTAAGAGAGAAAGTTTCAGAGAGAGAATTGAAAATAATATATTTATTCATCTATATCATTATCAACTTCTATATAAATCTGGGAATCATTTTACTGATTCTAACTTACTTTTTCTCTGAGAATGTTAAGAGTTCTGAAGCTGCTTATAGTCAGAGAATTAATCAGAGTTAGAATATTAGAGAAGAGAGAGAGAGAAAAATCAGCAGCAGTAGCAGAGACATCAGTATTAATATCAGTATCAGCATCAGCATCAGCATCAGTAGCAGAGATAGAAAGAGAATTGTCACTGTTATCAGATTTCTCATTACACTTCTGTCAGTGATCAGTGAATCTTTTGAATTACTTCAATATTTCACATATCTTGATAGTAATATTCAATACATTCTGATTGATATTATTCATGACATTTATAAGATTCATCATTGCTTATTTTTGAGCTTCAATATAGTGATTTACTATCATTAAAATCTCATACTGCACTATAAGCCTGCTTCTCTTAATTTTTAATTTAATCTTCTTAATGATGACTTTCTTCTTCTTAACAGTAACTTTCTTCTTTTTAAGCTTAAGCTTTATCTTTTCAATATTTAGCTTTGTCTTTTCAATCTCAATCTTTATCTTTTTAGCAGTACTGATTATGACATTCAGAGCTTTTAGAGTAATATTAATACTTTTCATATATTAAGTTTCTGCTTTCTGTTACTGAGTCTTGACTTTCTTAATTTATTTTAAGATATTCTTTACTGATTTTAATATAGTCTTCTTTATTATTGTCTTAAATTAATCTGATAAAGAATGATAAAATTCATGAATTCAGATCAGATTATTAACTTATTCTTTTAATTTTTCAGAGATAATTGTACATCTCTTTTTCTTATAGTTGTAATTTGTGTATGACTTTAAGCTTCTCTTTATCTTATTATAAGCAGTATTTAAATAACAGAGAAAAATATACTTAATGCAGTGCTCACACATTGTCAGTTTACTAGGCTGCTTTATCAGAGTATTTAGACAGCTGTTTACTTTCTTCTCTTGAGTCTTTGCATTGACTGCATGAGTACACTTGAAAGTATTACTTATCATTTTAGTACTGCTGCTGCTATTATTATTATTGCTATAATTGATGCTGCTGCTGTTATTATTATTACTATAATTAATATTGATATAATGAATTGTCAATATTCTTAATATACTACACAGACAAGATATCTTGATTAGAAATTTTCTGATTAAAAGCTTTCTATTACAACTGACAGAATACTAATCAGACTGAGAGATGAAGAAGAATAGAGTGAGCTGAGTGAGCTGAGAATACTCTTTACAGTATATTATTATTGCAAGAAGAAGAAAGAAGAAAAGAAGAAAAAGAAACATGTAAGTCTTTATATATATTGTTGATTCATCTTTGCAGATTATCATGTAATAAATGTAAATACTTTTATATTTCATCTCTGAGTGTAATCAGTGCATCTGATGAATTTCATTCATATCTTTTTTTCAGAATGAATACTTTCTGTGCAGGCTATCACTGAATGAATTACAGCTATTTTGAATATAAAATCATGTCTATTAACTAGAAATAAGTATTCAATGTGCTGTCAGAAATATATCTGCAGAATTCATGATTTTCTGATGCAGTGAAATCAGTGAATTCTTCACAGTCATAACTATACAAATTATAAGATAGAGAATATAACAACTTTCTTCAGTGAATATCAAGACAGGTATATTCTAATTATGTATATTAAAGTATATATTAACTAATTTATATATAAAACTCATAGAAAACTAAATATATTGAAATATAAATAGATTGTGTTGAAAAGCTCTACATCACTGATCTGTCTTTCACTGAAAGTGTTTCTGAAAATTTGATCTTTTTCTGTATCTTCTTTCATATATCTTTTATCAGATGTCTCTTTTTTACTATCAGAGTATTCTGAATTATCTCAGTAAAGTCATCTCTGATAATTTACTGATATTCAGAAATATCACTTATCAAATCTCAGAATATCAGAATATTTTATCATTGCAGTATAGCTGCAGTGAAGTTTTCATTTATATCAGCATTATTAAATATTTTGACCTGAGTTGTAAGATTTGTATATATCTCTATTTTTCAGAATCAGTTTCTAGTTTTTCAATCTGAAGTTTTCAATTCAATGTCTTTAACTAATGAATATTCAACTTACATTTCATATATCATTGTTCTTACTCAGAGAATTGATTAAAGTTGATGATTTCTCACACTCAGTAAAAAACCAGAAAGAACTTTTCAGTGATAAATGA